CTGTAACCCAAATTCCAATAAAAGATCTTTCCTCATTTTTGTGATGACATGTGGCTTGTTGTTTTAACTCAGTGCATGTTCTGCACAAGGAAACCATCAGTTTCTTGTTGATCTTATCGGTTAACACCGGAATGTGAAGTTCACGGGAAGGACAAGCCCTTCATATGTCGTTAAATCATCAAAGTTCTCTGTTACTATATTTGGGTGACCCAATACGGCTTTGTCAGTTTTATTGATGTATGGGTAAAGCGAGGTTACTTCATAGTATTTGATAGATTCACCCATTGGAGATCCGTGGTAAAATGTGAATGCCTCTGTTCTCTTGCCTGCAAAAGCATCTATTGGCTCTAATGGGGTGACAATTTCGATGGATTCAATGAACATTTGATGTTCTCATGTTCTCGAACATGCTTATATCCTTCCTTTTCAATGTGTATTTTCTTCTCCATTGTTTGATCATACAGATCAGCTATTGAAAGCTTGTTGACAGTGTTATTGTGTGCTGTGAGTAACATATTGAACATCAATGCCAGAAACAGCCGTGATATTCCATAACAATCTTCTCACCATCATGAGTTTTATAATAGCCATCTACCCGGTATTGATCAATTGTATTCTTTTCACCGTTCCTATCGTGCTGAATGTGTAATCCTTTAGACCATGACACGAATTCAATTCATTGTAAGGCTTTTACAGACTGTTTCTATTCAGGCCAGTACCATTGCGCTGGTATGATACCAATAGTAACAGGACGTAAAAATTTTGAGCGAAACACACTATTACATGCGGGAGCGTTCGTTACACAGGTTGCAAACTGACCAATACCCGCATCATCGGAAGTTGACACAGCCATTGACATAAACCATTCCCGAAACTTTAAACAACATCGTCTCAGAATATCTACATCTGATCGACAGTACTTCAAATGTTCTACAGGGCAATCAAAAAGGTGTTCACGTTAGCCTGATACCACTCAAGGAAGGTTCTTCTATCCTATGATTTTATGGCATCTGCATTATAAAACTTAACATCTGGTAGATGATTCAATACATTTGTTTGGTTTTCTTTCATGTGATAAAGATGTAGAAAGTACCCTTTTTGAAGTTTTTTTATTCCGAATATTTTAGGTAATTTTGAGAGTGCCACTGGTAAAATAAAGGCAACAGTAGTATACCGCTGTGCAAAAGTCATAAATCGATTGAGAGAAAACAAATCCGGATTACAAACTAAAACCGAGGGAAACACATCAACTATAAAAGGAAAACAACGGAACAACTGAAATACTGAAGTGCAACAAAAACAAACGCCAACATACATAGAAACGAACTATTTGATAACAACTTCCATATTCCTGACTTAGTACAGGACATTTTAAGAAAAAAATGGTGGGTTGAACTTACCTCCTGTATATATATGGCAATGTTTAAAAATATCGCTAAAATGACAAAACTAGGTGACAGAAATATAGCACAAACAAACGCAAGAACACTCAGCACAGAGAAACGCACAAATAAATAATATAATAGTCGTTACAACATGTTAACCGCAGAATAACAACGAACATCTTCCATTAACGACAGCACAGGACATCACAAACAGTGACGTATTTTTGTAACGAATATATAATCTTGAAATTCATATTATTATTTTCACAATACTAGTCCAAACAATTATCATGACTATGACGGTATTGAAAGACTATTTTAAATAAATACTGTGACGACGTCATAATTATTTGGACTAACACAATACTTTATACATGGAAAATGGAAATTAACTCGACTATATTGACAAATAAGACATATGTGAAATGAAACTGATTGAGTCTATCATTCTTATGTTCCATGACGGAACCGCAATGGCCATTTTCTTGGCTCCGCTTGGAACGATCTTTGGAAGAACACCATTCTGGTTTAGGTATTGCAGATAAGGGAAAGAGACGTATCCTTTGAAATCATGACAGAGAACTGTGGCTCCGTTATTCTCCCTAGAAAAAAAGCCATTGGCAAAAATCGATTGTAGTACTTATTCCATTAAAAACAAGCTCATTCTTCCCGCAGATCTTGCATTCACTATGTGGTGTAACTTCTTGATCTAAACATTCTAGACATATATTATGTACAACACGTAATTTGCTTTGTGTTTATAAGCTTCGCATTTAGTTGTTTCACAGTTCTTACACCTAGCGGGTTGATAGCCCTTAGAACATTCTAGGAAATCATCTTGGGTGCATCCAAAATCAAAGAAGATGTAAAGTTGGCGTTTGGTTTCTCTTTCCTCTACAGTAGCTGACTTATTTTTCGTTTTCCTGATTTGTGTTTCCAAGCAACTTCTGTGTTCGTTGTGTGTCACCTAAGTTATTGTCTGGAAGTTACAAAAAAGCTTATTTTTGGCCCCTTTTTGGCCCCTAATTCCTTAACTGTTGGTACCATAATCCCAACCTTCCTTTTGTGGTATTGAACCTGGTAAAATTTCATAGAGATCCATTCACTTAAACTAAAGTTATTTTGCGAAAACCAATGTGTCTTCGGACGAAGACGCCAATGTCATACCAATATACGACCGCAAAAGTTTTTAGCGGCCGTTGAAAACTGGACATTTTTACCTAGGAATAGTGATGTCTTGGACTAGGAAAATTAGTCTGGGGACATAAATTACTGACATCGGACTAAATATACTAGTAAATTCTGTATCCATGGACTTTTTATACTAGTTATATTTGTCTGACCAGACAATTTTTACAAGGACTAATTTATCTCTTACACTTGTTCTCAGTATTGCACCCCACCTTACCTTGACACATAATTCTGACTCTGAACAAACCAGTATTTGCTCTTACTCCTTAATAATACTGCGTGCTTAGGGGAGAAGCAGCAAATACCAACTTTAAAGTCTTTGGTTTTACCCCGTTGGGTTCAAAATAAACAACCTTCTGCACTTGAGGTGAACACGCTACCACGAGACCATGCAGTATAAATATAAGGAGTTTACCCAAGATTTAAAGTTTCCAAGTTTTTGCAAAAACTGGATAAAAATCATCATTGAAAAGCAATAATTAATTAATAAGATTTAATTTCTCTTTAAATATTACAGTTTTAGAGATAAAAAGGCAAATTCAAGAAATATGAAGAAAAAAAAAAGGTAAAAATCTGTATTTAAGGCAACAACTCCTATGGGTCAGCTGCCAGTTTTGATGCCATTTAAATGGACAGTAGTTTTTTTTTCAACATTCTGAACATTTCTACCCTTGTCAGATATTGTCTATCTATTTTGGCCTTTTGTAGCTTATTACGCAGTTTGGCTTTTTAGCCCATTGTTGAGATCTGTACGGTGATCTATATAATCTCATTTTAACATGTGTAGGCATTATATTTGTCAACATTTTACACCTCGCTTTAGCTCGGTATAAAGATATTGACAAATATAATGCCTATTCCTGTTAAAATGAGCATAGAGCATGGCATGAAAGAATTATTTCTTAATATATGACTAATTAAAGAATCATATAGAATGCCGCTTGACCCTAATTGAAAATTCCCTCCTCCAAACAAAATAGCGACTTTAACGTTATGTCTATTGGGGGACGACTGAACTAACAGGGACGACTACTACCTATCTTTACCACTAATTATCTTTTATCTCATTATATTTATTGGAGTGGGAAACAAATTGATATAAAGGGATCTTGATTTGGAAATTAAATGGGAGAAATGGGAGAGATACAGAAAAAAAAAAAAACTAAAAGACATTGTCAAAACTGCAATCTTAATGACATATAAAAATAACGATATTTATTTATGTGCAAGAAAATGAAAATATTATACTACAATTTTAACCTAGGAGTTATAGAAACTTTCAAAGGGAACCAGACATTAATTATTCAAATTATTATAGACTGCACAACATTGGCCAAAGAAATGAACGTTAGTCCAGAGACAAGAATTCAAATAGAAAAACTCAGTAGAAATCTGTGCTATGGACTCCATACTCAGAGACTGTTGATGCAAAAGAAGATTAAGACTATATAAAGTGATCTTCACCCAATGGGCACAAATTCTTATGGCTGTATATTTTAAATTTTATTTTCAATTTTATTGAATTTAATTATTGGAATTACATATCATATAAGGGTTAATCTATATTAAGATTAGGACCACAGGTTGAGGACACTATTACATGTATCATGTACAAACCTGAAGAAACTACTATTTTTTTTTTTACATCTAATCGTAATAATTTTAGGCTTTGAGTTACTTTAAAATGAGTTACTTTTAAATTTTCCGAGTTACTATATACAAAAAAAGTCATGTAATTAATGCAATTAAATCTACTGATGTAAATATTTCCACTGTAATTTCTGGAGTACCAATTTTACTTATTTATTGTTTTTTTTAACATAAATAATGGCCTGCTGTAAATATATCCCCTTACCACCTTTTCTTTTATATTAATGTTAATTTTAATATTTTAAAGATAAGGTTTAGATTTTACTACCGTGTGACACGGGTGCTCCAATGCGGAGGAATTTACGAAGAAAAGAAGTTAGGACTGAAATGCTTTTTTTTTTCTTCGATTTATTTTTAAAATGTTCAATATGGTGTTGCATATTAGTTTAATTGTGCGTTTTTTAATAAGATAAAATGTTTGTAGCAACTTCAAACATTTGATGAGTAATAAAGAAATCCTGAAATCCTTACTGGCAATTTCACAAACCGATTATAAAAAAAATAAAATAACGTGGTACATGCAGACAATATGTCGTTCGCAGTTGCCTCCTTATAAATTTCTACCATTAAAGTTGGACATGATAGTTGCCTTGATATGAACTATGTGCTGTCTCTTATTCTTTTTTTGTTTTTATTAAAATTGCTCTTGTGGGGTTTTGTTGCTCCGCTTTTAACGTTAGATATTTTATTTTCTTTATCATTATTTACGGACGTTATAATACATAGAAATTTGTATCTATTATAGGTATTTATTTATTTCCTTGCGGCCTCGTTGTCAAACTGTCATGGCAGCCTCCATGAAAAATAATACTTTTGACAGGTAGTTGTAATAATATTTTCTCTGTTAAAAATACGTTGTCATTATACTGATGAAATCCATGCTGTTAAAACTGTGATTTAAATAATATTTCTGATGGAGACCGAAACTTTCAATCTTCATCGGCGGCAGAATATACCAATGGACGATGTAACCCAAAAGTTATAGAAAACACCAGGATTTGTACTCTATACAAATCCTTGAGAAAACAGAAAACTCCAGGGTCAAAACAACGACCAGAAGACAAACAACTGTTCACTAAATACTGCACGGAAAACTGAATATTGAGTAACACCAACTAAACCAACACCCCATGGGTATTTTGTGCTCTTGAAAAGTAAACATATCCTGCTCCAGTAGTAATATGAGGCAGGTGTTAACTGTGAAAGGTGACGAAGTCTGTATACATTAGTTTTTTTAATTCAAGCATATTTTAACTCCAGAATCTGTTAAAAAAAGAAACAAAATACGGAAACGTTTCCGCCATTGGTCCTGTTGATATGGAATTTTGTTGTGACGTCATTTTCAATGTAAACAAAAAACGCTATCATCAGGTAATGTTTTTTTTTTTTCATATCAAAAAATAATTAAAATGAAATTGTTACTGTGCTTCTTTCTTTATTTTACTAGACTGATAAATATATATTTTACTCAAAGTCTCCTGACAGTCCGAACATGGTATTGATGTCATTTTTTTTGGTAATATATATACTATCAACAATATGGCAGTGGCTGTCAACAGAACAGGAATAGGGCAATGCGCAAGTGTATCCACGATGATTGGAAGTTCATCATGTTCGTTACCCTAACTCCAAACGAAGAAAAATATTCTCACCTTGGAGCAAATAAATTCCACTGTGAATGTAAATAATCTTACTTATTTGCAAACAGTCTGATACACCTAATTGATGAATAGCTTCAGAAACATGATCAATCTGTCCATGTTTCGTATTGTGACCCGATTCCGTAAAATAAGTAGAGATGCTTGTGACCTTTGTCTTGGACAATGGCTTTTGCGCATGTGCAACAATATATAGGTCAGGCCTATTGTATTATGATTTGAACAATACAGAATAAATTTGAGATAAAATACATGAGTGTAACAAATGAATATCTTGGAAAAAAGAAAAATTGGGACATACAACTATAACTGTTAGAAAAAAATGTAAACGATTTTGAGTTCATTAGTTTATTGATTTTCCGGTAGCTTTTTTTTTTTTCTTCTTTTTAAATGATAGTTTGATTAAAATCTCAATAATTTATACTCCTAAAAACAATGAATATACAACATGTACAAAGTCGGCTTTATACTGATTTTTGTACAGATACACAAATCTACCTGATTGATCTAAGGTGAGTTTCTTAACCTGAATAAGCAGCTCTAGACTCATTTTATTACAAACAGAAACAGAAGATATTCAAAATGTTGTTCCTCATTATTCTTTTTGGTAATCAGTTATACAAATTTGCAGGTAATCGTATGACTTACACCATGGCAGCGTCCGTCAACAGGGTAATGCGCTAGCTCCACTGTTAGAAATAAGATGGGGAAAAAAAGTTTACGATTTTGAGTTCATGGGTATATTGTTTTTTGTTTAATTGAATTTCTTACTGCACCTATTTTGACAGTTTTTTCATAAATTTGTGTTTATTTTAAGAATCCGACGAAAATTTCCATTCTGCTTATGGTCTCGCCTCGACAGAGTCAAAAAGCGAGGATTAGGTATGCTGTTTCTGTCGTCGCGGTGTCAACAATGTATAAGTTTGTGATTAGGTCAGTTTATGGGGAACCACTAGTGGTACAATGTAGGTCAATGATATTTGGTATTCAATTGTATAAGCATTGGCAGATCTCATGCCATTGAGATGGCCCCACCCCTTAGTCATGGTCTATTGACTCAAATTTGTGCTTACTTTACATGTATTAGTTTGTGATTAGGTCAGTTTAAGAGGAACCACTTAGTATCAAAAGATTAATGATATTTGGTATGTACATGTAAATGCATTAGCATTTGCACATGTATCTCATTTCCATGGAGATTATTTCCTGTGTATTAATCAAGCAATTGGTGGTATAAAGATGGTCATATCGGACCACCATCATGACCATGGTGAACATTATTTTTTATGGCCACCATTCATCAAGTGGAACTGTAGTTTGTAATTAGATCAGTCCGCAATTAAAAGAATCTTTGTTTCCCCACACCCCTACCCAGATTTTTGCTGGTGGGTAGGTACATGTAGGTACACCATGTTTTTTTTTTTTTTTTATTTTTTTGAAAATGTTTTGGTAGGTCATGTAGATAGGTAAGGTGCTTTTTTTTTTGTTAGACACATAGACCATAATGGGTGAAAAATTGGCTACTTCACTCAGGGTACTACTTCGTTTGTGCTGATGCCATTCATTCTCTGTGTCCACCTTTAGTCAGAGTAGTTCCGATTGGTCGCAAATACGCATTCAGACAGAAGTTGAATCCGGATTGCTATTTCTGGAAATCAGAGTTTGGTCAGACGAAAAAAAAAAAAATAAAAAGGACAAACATTCTTTTGAGTTGGCAGCCTTATTTCGGGATGTGGGGAAACAAACCTATCTTTTATATTGTCCTCAGTTTAAGAGGAACCACTAATGTTAAGTCAATGATATATGAATGTATATGGTTTGCAGTTGTTTAAGCATTTGCAAGTCTCCTTTCCATGGAGGTTATATGGCCCCACTCCTTCATCATGGTTCATTGACGTTGAAACTTTTACCTTGTTTATAAGTTAAAGTTTGAGTTTTGGTTAGGGAAAAGGGAACCACTTATGATAAGTCAATGATATTTGATATGCAGTTTTATAAACATTGGCATTTCTTCTTTCCATGGAGGTTATTTGGTCCTTAAGTCATGGTTCATTGTCTGAATGTTTTGCATAGTTTACATGTTTAAATACACGTATTGCCATCTAGATTCAATATTTGCATTGTATATATACTTTCAAAATTACAACAAGGCAATACATATCTCCTTTTGAACAGTTTATATTTTATAGATGTACTGTTAATTACTGTTAAGTTCCATAAATTTAATTTAATCCATACTGAATTGTCATTTATCATAGAAAAATGAGTTTGAACTGACCTCCAAATGATCCAAGATTCTGTATTGAGGGGTATATATAGATTGCACCCATACTTAACAACACCTCTGTTAAAATGCAATAATTTATGTTTTTTGTCTCGCCTTGACGAAGTCGAAAAGCAAGACATACAATGATATAGGTACATGTACAGTACACACAGAGAATACCGGTTCTCATACTCCAAACACTGTGTAAAAACTTGGTGTCACAATGAAAAACTCCAGCAAAACTCTCAAAATCTTGGGAGGGAATTGGGAGAAACTTGGAGTAATTCCTCCATTTAATCCCTTCATTGTTTATCACCTTGGTGTCGTTTCTCCCCACACCATGATTTTTATACGACCGCCAAAAAATTTTGTGGTCGTATATTGGTATGACGTTGGCGTCGTCGTCGTCGTCGTCCGGCGTCGTCGTCGTCGTCCAGCGTCGTCGTCCGAATACATATTGGTTTTCGCACTCTAACTTTAGTTTAATTGAATGGATCTTTTTGAAATTTGACCATAAGGTTAAATACCACAAAAGGAAGGTTGGGATTGATTTTGGGGGTTATGGTACCAACAGTTAAGGAATTAGGGGCCAAAAAGGGGCCAAAAATGAGCATTTTCTAGTTTCCAGACAATAACTGTGGAACGGTGTATGGATCTCTCTGAAATTATACTACAAGTTTCTATACCACAAAGGGATGGTTAGGATTTTCTTTTGGGGGATATGGCTCAAACCGTTTAGGAATTAGGGGCAAAAAAGGGGGAAAAACAAGGTTGTCCTGGTTAATGGACAAATACTTTAGTACAAAACATAATTTAAAGCAGTGTAAGGGAGATAAATCAAATACATCATTGAAATTATCTCCCTTACACTGCTTTTAAATTATGTATAAAGTAATGGTTAATGAACAATAAAGATAATCTAAAACAGTGTAAGGGAGGTAATCCAAATATAAAGTTTTGGTTACTTCCCTTACACTGCTTTTAAATTATGTTTAAAGAAATGCATATTTATAAAGGAAGACCAGTAAAAATATCTGCAAATGTTTTCATCTTTTTTTTTTACAAAAAAATCCATATGAAAGATTTGACACTATATTTTTATTAATTCTATTATAAAATAGATTAAGTTAGCACTATGGTGAATTTAAATGGGTAATTATGGTTGCCAACTCCATTGGAAATTTGAATTGAGATAATGACAATATCTTGAGGGAAAGAATTTTTTTTGGGGAAAAAGGGGGGGGGGATAAAAAGAAATTGTGGGGGGCCAATTTTTTCTCATTTCAGATTTCAGAAATTAAAAAGAATTATTCTTCAAATATTATTTTTTTTTCAAATTTCAAATATTGAAAAATTTCAAGAAGTAATCTTTAATTGCACAGTATGGCGCATTAGATTTGTAAAATCTTTGATCACATTTATTTATTTGTTATGCCGAATCTAACAGTGTATTTAGATTTTTAATTTTGGGTCCAGTTTTCAAATTGGTCTACATTAATGTCCAAAGGGTCCAAAATTAAACTTTGTTTGATTTTAGCAAAAATTGAATATATGAGATTCTTTGATATGCTGAATCTAAACATGTATTTAGATTTTTGATTTTTGGCCCAGTTTTCAAGTTGGTCCAAATTGGGGTCCAAAATGAAACTTTGTTTGATTTCAACAAAAATTGAATATAAGGGGTTCTTTGATATGCTGAATCTAACCATGTATTTAGATTTTTTATTTGTGGACCCCGTCATCTAATTGGTTCATATTGAGGTCAAAAGGGTCCAAAATTAAACTTTGTTTGATTTCATCTAAAATTGAATTATTGGGGTTCTTTGATATTCCAAATCTAACCGTGTATTTAGGTTTTTAATTTTGGGTCCTGTTTTTTAAATTGGTCTACATTGAGGTCCAAAGGGTCCAAATTAAACTTAGTTTGATTTTAACAATAATTGAATTCTTGGGGTTCTTTGATTTGCTGAATCTAAACATGTGTTTAGATTTTTGATTATGGGCCCAGTTTTCAAGTTGGTCCAAGATAGGGTCCAGTATTTAAACTTTGTTTGATTTCAACAAAAATTGAATATATGGGGTTCTTTGATATGCTCAATCTAAACATGTATTTAGATTTTTGATTATGGGCCCAGTTTTCAAGTTGGTCCAAATTGGGGTCCAAAATTAAACTTTGTTTGATTTCAACAAAAATTGAATATATGAGGTTCTTTGATATGCTGAATCTAACCATGTATTTAGATTTTATATTTGTAGGCCCCGCTATCAAATTGGTTCATATTGAGGTCAAAAGGGTCCAAAATTAAACTTTGTTTGATTTCATCGAAAATTGAATTATTGGGGTTCTTTGATATGCCAAATCTAACCGTGTTTTTAGATTTTTAATTTGGGTCCCGTTTTTTAAATTGGTCTTCATTGAGGTCCAAAGGGTCCAAAATTAAACTTAGTTTGATTTTAGCAAAAATTGAATTCTTGGGGTTCTTTGATATGCTGAATCTAAACATGTGTTTAGATTTTTGGCCCAGTTTTCAAGTTGGTCCAAGATAGGGTCCAGTATTTAAACTTTGTTTGATTTCAACAAAAATTGAATATATGGGGTTCTTTGATATGCTCAATCTAACCATGAATTTAGATTTTTTATTTGTGGGCCCCACTATCAAATTGGTTCATATTGAGGTCAAAAGGGTCCAAAATTAAACTTTGTTTGATTTCATCAAAAATTGAATTATTGGGGTTCTTTGATATTCCAAATCTAACCGTGTATTTAGATTTTTAATTTTAAGTCCCGTTTTTTAAATTGGTCTACATTAAGGTCCAAAGGGTCCAAAATTAAACTTAGTTTGATTTTAGCAAAAATTGAATTCTTGGGGTTCTTTGATATGCTGAATCTAAACATGTGTTTAGATTTTTGATTATGGGCCCAGTTTTCAAGTTTGTCCAAGTTGGGGTCCAAAATTAAACTTTGTTTGATTTGAACAAAAATTGAATATATGGGGTTCTTTGATATGCTGAATCTAACCATGTATTTTGATTTTGGACATTGGACCATAATAGGTAAATTAAAAAAATTCAAGTTCTTAGACCACATTCTTTCTGTGTCAGAAACCTATGCTGTGTCAAATATTTAATAACAATCCAAATTCAGAGCTGTATCAAGCTTGAATGTTGTGTCCATACTTGCCCCAACTGTTCAGGGTTCGACCTCTGCGGTCGTATCAAGCTGCGCCCCAGCGAAGCATTTTATTATTGACATAATTACCTTTGAAGTGTGCCAGTAGTTGTTGATTACAATAAACATGTCTTGTGTTTCACGTCATTAAATGACAGTCACAATAATGAAGAAAAGTGTGAGATTTGTTAAATTTAATCAGAGACATATAATTATATATGTCTCTGATTTAATTATAGAATCCTGAACAACTTTATTTATTAAAATTATATACAGTTTTGGTTTTCATACCTACATTGACCTAAAAAACATAATTAAATCTGCATAATATTCATTTTATATACATTAAATTTAGATAGAAACAAAGCAAAATATCACATGTAAGTGGAGTATAATTATTAGAAATTAAGACACGTATGTTTAACTGAATTAAAAAGTTCAATCTTCTTCTAAATTAAAATAATAAAATTTAAGGGAAGATATATATATTTATAATTTTATTTTATTTGTTTTTATCATTACTATTATTTTTTAAACTGACTATAAATACAACTTATTATAAATACAACTTATTATAAATATCAAGTTGCCAATCCAACAAGATAAACAAGTTAAACAAAAACAAATATTATTAAAATACATATTTGTATAAAATTTTTAAAAATCATTTCATTACCTTTTTATATGTTTCAGAAATAAAACTTTAATAATAGGAAATAATTGAAATAGGAAAAGTTGACCTGTAATTACCATGATTACATGTCATTGTCAGACCATACAGTCATGCTTTGTTTGATTTTTATTACTTTTATCCCGGTCTCATGGGTTTTCGTGCTATTAAGAATGCATTGTGACATCACAATTTCCATTGAAAAAGCATGCATAGTACGAAAACATATGATCTGACCATACCTGCAATCAACAGGTCATAAAATGCTCCCAGAAGGGAGAAATTACTGGGAGTATTTGGGAGAGAAATCTGTGTTTCACAGTGTGACACTGTGTTACACCAGAATTTATCTACATTTGCAAGTCTCGTTTCCATGGAGATTATATATCCCCACCCACTCATCATGGTTCATTGACTGAAACTTTTACATAGTTTACAATTTAATGTTTGTGGTTAGGTTTGTTTAAAGGGAACAACTTATGATAAGTCAATGGTATTTGGTATGCAGTTGTATTAGCATTTGCACATCTCATTTCCATAAGGATTGTTTAGCCATGTACCTTCAGTCATGGTTCATTGACTTTGAATATTTGCATAGCTTACATGTTAAAGTATTGCTACTTTAATTTCAACATTTGCATTATCAAAATTACAAACATGACAAAAAGGAGAGACATACATTGTATCTCTGTGTTAACAGTTTATGTTTTATTTCTTCACATTTTTTTAACAACTTCTGTCTGAGAGTAGGGGAGAAAATTGGGAGTAGGCAAGAGTGGAAGTTTGGAGGTAGGGAAGTGGAAATCAGGGACCCTCTGTCCACCCCCTTATATATGTTAGCAACTTACATTTTTTCGTATGAAATCAATTCTATTAGAAACATATACATGATATACAGCTAGATGCATCACAAGAGTTGTCTGCATTTTTCATCACTTTCATTCTAAAATTTGTTATATTATTTTACAGTTTACAAATACTGCTAAGATTATTGAATGATGTTGAAAAGAAAAAGATACTTGCTAAGACAACTTGTAAAGGTTACCATGATCTGTTTAAACCATGGTGAGTACATTATTTACATTTTATACATGTTATAAATCAACAGAAGAAGCGCTCAAATCCAAAATTTTGAAAGCCAAGAGGATGTACAAAACCTAAACGCATGAAGAGCTAAGCCAAGGATGTACAAAACCTAAACGCATGAAGAGCTTATCCAAGGATGTACAAAACCTAAACGCATGAAGAGCTAAGCCAAGGATGTACAAAACCTAAACGCATGAAGAGCTAAGCCAAGGATGTACAAAACCTAAGCGCATGAAGAGCTAAGCCAAGGATGTACAAAACCTAAGCGCATGAAGAGCTTAGTGAAGGATGTACAAAACCTAAATGCATGAAGAGCTAAGCCAAGGATGTACAAAACCTAAGCGCATGAAGAGCTATATGACTCAAATGGACCTAAACAATAACCAATATAAAAATAAGGAGATGTGGTACGATTGCCAATGAGACAACTATCCACCAAAGTTCAAATGAAGTGGATGTAAGCAATTATAGGCAACCGCATGGCCTTCAACAATGAGAAAAACCAATACCGTATGGCATGTATGGTCGGCTATAAGTTCATTTAAGGTCAACTTTGCTTTTTTTCTAATAATTTCTTAATTTATCGACAGAAAATTGAAAAAAAGTTTGTTTATTAATCATGTCAGTACAGTTTACTGAGATGATGATATCCTCATTGACTAACAGTCCAAAAAAGTCATATTCCTTTCCACTGGTCAAAGAGGATTTATTTGTAAATTTTTCTCATTCACCACCAATATTAATGCTAAAATGAGGATGACCAACAATGACAAAAATAAAAAAAATATGTATTCTACAACAATAACTACAGACACAGGAATGGCTCAGTTGACAGTAGAATAATAATCCCAAAATAGAAAAATACACGTTCAAATCAATAGATAGACATTTTGTTAGATTCCCTTAGTTACAAGAAATTTTGTTAGAATCCCTTATATATATATAGTTTCAAGACATTTTGTTAGATTCCTTTAGTTACAAGACATTTTGTTAGATTCCTTTAGTTACAAGACATTTTGTTAGATTCCTTTAGTTACAAGACATTTTGTTAGATTCCTTTAGTTACAAGACATTTTGTTAGATTCCCTTAGTTACAAGACATTTTGTTAGATTCCTTTAGTTACAAGACATTTTGTTAGATTCCCTTAGTTACAAGACATTTTGTTAGATTCCCTTAGTTACAAGACATTTTGTTAGATTCCCTTAGTTACAAGACATTTTGTTAGAATCCCTTAGTTACAAGTATATATGTTAATACTAATTAATGCAATGTTCCAATTTATTGTTTTTAAGTTGCTTAAATTTATCAATCTTAACTGAGAAGCAATGAACATGATGAATATCAAACATTATCATAAAATAGAATAATTTTAATTGATAAATTATTGTTTCTTTTTCTTTATAATTTTGATTTCTTTAAATCTGCAACAAATCTAGATAGATATTAAATGATGGTAGAGCCTGACAAGCATGGCAAGTAGAAACATATACTGTAAATTCAGAAATTATTGTGTGCATTTATTATTGGGATTTTTGAAGAATGGACAAAAATGCTAGTTTACGGTAATTATTGCCATTTCAAAAAAATCTGCAAACTGATCTTTGTTTCAGTTTATCAAAATGCAAGTTCTTATTATTGCGATACTCACCCAGTCACATTATTCACATTAATAAAAAACCTCGCAATAATTTCTGAATTACAGCCGATTTCAAGGAGTGTGTAGGCAAATGTAATATCTTTGGTTAGCTTGCTTGCTAGCTGAAGCGTGAAGTCATTGTTAGGTTAGGTAAACTACCCTCCTTTAAGAGTAGACTAGTCCGACAGATAACCAATTTATCTGTCTGTAGGACTAGGCTACTTTGGAAGGAGGGTAGTACATCTTACCTAACAATGACTTCACGATTCAGCTAGCAAGCAAGCTAACCAAAGATATTACCTTTAGCTACACACTCATTGAAATCGGCTGTAACAGTTACTCACGGTGAAACTATAAATGACAATTTAGAACATAAACTGAGACAACTGTAATGGTAATATTCTCAGGCATTAAATAAAACATTATCTGATTTGTACAGTACAAAATAGACTTAAATGAGTACATTGAAGTAAGTTTAGGATACAAATGACAAGATATATCATTGTAAATACCAAACATAATAATGCCACAGGCAAACAATGACTTCTCCATTAAAGTCTCTCCACTTCTTCCCATCATATTCAAAAAGAGAAGTCGTTTCTCCCTATGATTCTGAAGTAGTGTGAGCCCTGGTATACGTATAACATGTATAAGCTGTTAATGGAATAAACTAATGCTGTTCTAAGGGTAAAGTGCTCTTCACAAATTTGAGAGGTCATAGGTTTGATCCCTGGCAGTGGCAGGGTCAAGCCAAAGCAAAGTTTAGTCAGTTGAAAGTGGCGTTAAACACCAATCAATCAATCACATTTTTCTCAGGGTAACAGTCTGCTCTATCATGTCTATCAACCTCTCAGCTATGTGTTATTTATATAATGTTAAATATTTATTTATAAAACAGGACTTTAAAAAATGAAGAAAAAGATGAGGAAACTAAATCTAAAGAGAAAACAGAAAATCCCCTGACTGATGAAAGTAAGATTTTTAGAGGTCACATGATAGTCAAGGGAGATAACTTTGAAGAACAATATTGTAGATCTACATATTAGAAGGAACAATATCAGGGATGAGGGTCTGGATGGATGTTTACAGAATAGAGAATAATGGGGCAAAAAATATAAAGAATAGAGAAAAATGGACCAAAAATAAAGATTAGAGAATAATGAGGTGCTAAAATATAAAAAATACAGAATAATAGACAGAAAGTATAAAAAATAGAGAAAATTGACCTGAAAAAAAATAAAGAATACAGAAATGAAGGGCCCCATCCAGACCCTCAGGGATTACTATCTCTTACAAAGAGTGACCGTAAACACCCTTCACTTATTATTTCTCTCTTGATTTATTTTAGATTTAAGAAGTAAATTTTGTATGTTTTTTTAGAGGAGGTTTTCAACCAACAGCTGTGCCTTAAAGCTTCCTTAGCTGTCTTCCTGTTTCAGATGATTTTAATTCAAATTACCAGTTGGTATGCTTTGCAAGGTTTTTATTAAATCTTAAATACTGTCATTGAAACTCTAGGAAATTTCATTTAGGCCCTTCTCTTTAAGCAGAAATTTTCATGGTCATCATATATATATATGCATGGTTGATGCATTTGATGAAAAAATTTTTTTTCTTTATAATTATTAAATATAGAAATTAAGGGATACCCAAGTAAAATTATTGCATCTAAAATAAAAAAGTTACAAAGGTTAATCTTGTTTTCCGTTAATTGTAGATCAACTGTCATCTGTTGAAAAAGCTGAGTTGGAACTGGTTACTAAACTTCTGTCAAAAGCTGAGAAAGCTTACAAAGTGAAAGAAAGGGTAAGGGGATTGGAACTTTCCAGTTAAACATGAATTTTGTGTGGTTTCCTTTGATCACCAAGATTTTATAATCTATACATTATAATAGTTCAAGTTGCAAGATTGAAAACAGAAATTATAAATATTTCACAAATTACCATTTTCACTTTGTTAATGATCATATAAATTAATATTAAACACTGGTATAATTAAAAATAATAAAAACTGATTACAAAACCAATTTTTCAAAATTTATTTATTAAAGCTTGCAGAACCAAAAAGATCTAAAAATGATATCCATGAAACTACAAAGAACTTAAAACACAACCATGAAGAGGATCTAGACCATCAGACCGAAACATTTAAACCGGAAAAGGAAGAATACATTGATGTAGAAAGTGTAAAAAATGATACTGTGAGGGCTTCTTCAGGGCTCAAGCCGAAGACCAATAATTATAAAACAGCTGGGTCTAAATCAAGTGCTACTGTGGTTACAAGGACAGCTTCTATAGAAAATGAAAAAACTAAGAATGTAGTAAATAATAAGGTTAAACCAAGAACAGAAATCAGAAAACCTCAAAAAACATTCCAGTCTCATATAAAGGCACCATTTCAAACAAATTCATCCATACCATTTCCTAAAAAATCAACCTCTATTACAAAAACTGCTCCACAGGCGCGTCCAACTTCAGCTAGCAGATATAAACAAGTAAACAAAAGTTCCTCCAATCAAATTGTACCAAAGAGTTCTGCCAGTCATCCTTCAACTAGAAATAAAGATGTGTCACAGAAAAGAGGTCAAGTTGAAGTTCAGATTGAAAAGGTACAGTCTGCTCGATCATGTCAAATCTCAAAGTCAGCAGAAAAGCAGGACACAGACAACCATTTTGAATTACATGATGGGAAGAATACTGAAAAGGGAGATAATCTTACAGACATCAACGAAACAGAACGAGATAATCGACAAGATTCAGCAGTTTTGTTAGCTAATCGTTTGTCTCAGCTTAAAGTACCAGAAAATAAACCACCTGAAAAACAGAAATTTGATCTACGGAAAGATGGGTAAGATTTAATTAACAATAAGCAGTGAGAACACAATTAACCCATAAAACATGAAAATTGAAAAAATGATGTTTCTAATATCAAGGCAAAAATTCTGTTAAGGATGTACTTAGGTGAGGTTTAGGAATTTGTGTCAGATGTTCGGACTCGTTGGTTTTTTTCCTATGATATAGGGTAAAATATTTTGCCCCATAACACCCATTTTTCGTTTCATATAAAACTTCAATAGCTTGTAAAAGGTAATTTACCAAAATTTAAGCAGATTCTAGATTTCTTTTTCTTTGGATTTGAGACCCAAATAATATCAATGCAAATATAAGGTAAAAGTCCGAGTCAGCCTTTTCCCACCATTTTTTAAAACTCGAATATCTCGAAAAGGAGCTCCATAACCTTTCAATATTTTTAGCTTATTTTGTTCCTTAACTAATGCTCTTCCGACTTTTAGTATCAATTTTAAATTCTAGATTTTTTTAATTTCACCTAAGTACACCCTTAAAGCATATCAATTTGTTTGCCCCGCCATAGCAGAGGGGGTATTAAGTTTTACCCTTGTCCATCCATACGTCTCAGAATTAGTTTCCATTCTTTAACTTTAGTTTGCTTCAACCAAATGTTACTAAACTTATACACAATGAGTATGTTTGTATTACCATAAAACACAGATCAAGTTTGAATTTGGGTGGCATCACAGTTCTCTAGTTATGTCCCTTTATAATGTTATATGCTAGCAGGGGCATCATCTGTGTCCCATGGACACATTCCCCATTTATTTTGTATAGTTTGTTCTTGTGTTGTGCATGTACCATTGTCCCAGGTTAGGGGGAGGGTTGGTGGACACATTCTTCATTTATTTCAGAATATGTCTGATGTTGACCATGTTTTTTGTTTAATGGAATTTTTATTTTATCAAACAAAGCATTCATAAAACATTTTTTAAAAGGAATAGAGAGGATACCAAGGGGGCAATCATAGTTCTTGAAAGTATAATAAAAACAGGCAACACCATAGCCAAAAATAAAAACAGGCAACGCCATAGCCAAATATAAAAACAGGCAACACTATAGCCAAAAATAAAAACAGGCAACGCCATAGCCCAAAATCAAGATAGGCAACACCATAGCCAAAAAAACAAACAGCCAACGTCATAGCCAAAAATAAAAACGGGAAACACCATAGCCAAAAATAAAAACAGGCAACACATAGCCAAAAATAAAAATAGGCAACACATAGCCAAAAATAAAAACTGGCAGCACCATAGCCAAAAATAAAAAGGACAAAAAGACATACAGCAATACAGGTAACATTAATACATTACATAGAAAACCAAAGGTGAGGCAACAAGAAGTCACGAATCCCACTAAAACAAGAGGTGGACTTAGGGGCTCCATAGAGAAAGCAGTTCCTGCTCTATATCAGGCACCTGTGGTGTTGCTCATGCATATGAAGTTTCTGTTAAAATGTTTGAAAATTTATTTCATATCAAGTGGGAAATTTAAATCACAATTATGATGTGTTTTAGTTTAACCTTGAAGTTTTTAAAGGTTATATGAATATCTGACATTTTCAAAATTTATGTGTTTTGATAAAAAAAAGAAAAATAACAAAAATACCGAACTCTGAGGAAAATAGATGATCATCATAATAATCATTTCAAAATTTGTTAGCATTTCTATTCTTTTGGACAATTTCATAGTAGTCAAGTTTTATTGTGAATTGCAGGATTTAGGGTATTCCAACTGACAGTACTTTTTTGGAGATGATAGTCTGTTTTTAGCTTAGATACTGATAAAAACATTTACATTTACAGGTGCCATCTTACAATTCCAGCTAAACTGAAAAAGTATGCTGCTCAGAATAGAAAATTGAGACAAAAGTATGACGTGTATAAAATGACAAAGAAAGTTGATAGGCAACATTCATCCATGAAAATCTTAGCTGGTATTGAATCTACTGTAAGTTACAGTTGAAAACATATTGAACAAATTTTATTTAAAATCCTACATACCATAGACATGATAGATGGGGACATTTAAGTTATTTCTATTGGTGAGTCCCATCATTCCTAAGTCCATTATGTATATTGTTAAAAATTTTGTTTCAAGGCCGGCTAGGTATACATAGTTAATGATGAAGTTTTGATAATATCAACTTGAAAATAAGTACATGTGTTCATTCTGGTGTGACTTTTTTGAAATACTAAAAGGTGAACCTGGTAGGCAAGGAAATGAAGGACATTTTATGAATGAACCAGAATACTACTACACCAAAGTTATTAAGACTGGATGGCTGGTTTTTGAAAAAAATGCCTTATTTTTTCTCTATTTCAGTTAAATTTAAGTTATAAACTAAAAAAAAAAAAAGAAATATTAATATTATTGATGATGTGCAAAGTGACACCCCATCCACTGTTAAACCAAACATAAAATCAATATGGACTTTCTGACAGTGCAGATTTTTTTTATTGTATATGGCACAGAACCATTTCTCCAATTTTGTAGATACAAAATTATTGAAGTTAAGGTTTGGGTCCTCCACCTTCAGTTGTGTTCCTTTTTTGTACTGGTTTCTCGTTCTTATTGCCAATTCAGTTAAACAATAGACTATTTTCATATATCCGACTTTTGACTCTGGAGTTTATATTTTTTCAACAGGTTACCTTCCCTTTGGTAGGACATCCTGGTACTCGGTCAAGCAAGAGCAACATAAAAAGGTGAAATCAAGCTTTCAATCTGTACACTTTTTGGGGGATATTAACTGAATTATGTTTTAATTATAAGACAAAATAATCGGAAAAGAGCAAACTTTCCCCCCCCCCCAAATTGCACAGATTATATGTTTGATTTTACTTCTTTTGGTTGCTCTTACTTGACCGAGTACCAGGATGTCCAACCACAGATAAGGTAACCTATCAAAATATTATATAATCCGGAGTCAAAAGTCGGTAATATGAAAAAAGTCTATTGATTTTTAAAATAATTTTGATTACAGTTTACAGATATAGAAGAATGGGTATTGATGAAGAATATCACATACATGACAAATATGTACACCAACTTAAAAAAATACCTCAATTCGCTGGATCTGCATAATATTTCAGGTAAGTCTATCTTTTCTATCAAGATTTTCCTCTCAAATTAGCAAACAATGTGAAAAGCAGGCTGTGGGAGTATTGAATAAAATTGGTTAGCAATGCAAATATATTCCTCATGTACCAACTTCAATGTATTATTCTATTATTCTGTACATGTATAACTCACTGGAACATACTAATTATCCGTTATTGTATGCAGCTAGATCAGACGAAATCAGGGAAAAATTACCAACAAAATCGATTGATATGCAACACAAATTAACACTTTTGCAATGTAGTTACAAGGTAAATTCAATGGGACCCTAACAAATGTAACAATAAATGGGAATAAATCCAGAAAAACCACACATATATGTGTCATGTACTGTTTGTACAAAATTCAAAACGTCCTACTCTAAAAATTGTTAAAAAAAGTAAAAAAACTTATAAAGGATAATCTTCTTTGGGAAAATATTTTCTTTTAAATTAGTTCTCTTGGTCAAGTTAGCTGTCTCATATCTTGGCATCTTGTGTCCAGCATTGTCGTAGTCTGTTAACTTTCATAAAAAATATTATATTCTCCTTTGCAACTACTGGTTCTATTGGCTATATTATTATGGTCAGTTTTTATTGGTGGTAGAAGACAGTCCGAACCACCAATCTTTGGCAGAAAATATAATAAATAAATGTTATTTACTAACAACTTTCATGTACCGTATTTTAACCCATAAAATAAAACATTATGTTTACAGAGTCCTCGTCTGTGTATGAGATATTAAGATCCAGAAAAGCTCTAGAGGTGATCCTGTCAACATTCCAACAAGTGGAAGAACAAAGAGGCCAATTAGATACAGGTATGAAAGATTTAAACATTGAGGTCAAATTCAGACATTATTATATTTTATCACATACAGTTAGTTCTCGTTGTCTCGAACTCGATTGACTCGAAATGTCGGATGAGTTGAAGTTTTCTCCTGGTCCCGAACTTTGTTCCATATAAATATATGTATTTCGACTCCTGATGAGTCTAGGTTTGATTGACTCGAACTAAATTTACGGTCCCAAGGTTAACAAAAGCATTTAATATACATTATTTACCTCGAACTAATACACATATGTCAAAACATGACCTTGGGGATTTAAATGGATTGAAGAGTTAATCTGACAATACACGTGTAATTATATTTCCGGTCACTGACCACTGTATCGATTTATGACATTCTTTTTACGTGAGTGTTTTACTAATCTTTGATCACCATGAAAAGTAATTAGTGATACATTGTTATATTTATGAAAAATTATTTAAAATGTTTTAAAAACAATTAACCTTAATCATACACTAATGAGTTTGGTTGTGCATAAAGTAGGGATAACGACTTCTGTTGGTGATCGACTCAAAACTACTAAATCAGTGTCTTTAATCTTTTTGTATTATCTCTTGCAGAAAAAGATTGAAATAAAAGAAAATGAAAAGAAATCTAAATTTTCTAAAATCTCTTTGTATATGAGAATGAACAATTTTGTCAACAATAGATAACGCTGAGCTCGATTGGAAATTACTTTTGGCTAAAAAGTATAGAATAAAAATGTAACTGTACAAAGAAATATATTAGAGACGAAAACATAACATGTTATTATAATAATCAAAGACCATAACATACAAATATATCGATCTGAGAACAGATTATCGATCCCCTACCCATATTCATCTGGATTTATTTTAGCCTTACCAAGCTAAGCAAGAGTTGTGTCCCTTGGTCTGTTAAACTTCTGGTTTTTGTTCGAGTCAAACCACGGGTATCTCAAAATATTTCTCTGGTCCGGCTGACTTCAAGATAATGAGATTTGACTGTATTTTCTTGTTATAACCCTATTTTTATTACCTTTGTCGCTTATGATAAAGTCAGAAATTAGCCAATATCTATAAGGAGTTGTTACAAGGGTTTTTAAACTTCATAACACTTTGAATTGTCCATTTTATTACTTACAGATAATTTTACATTAAAATGTATATTAAATTTTCAGGCTGTTTGGATAATGCAGATTATATAGGTACCTGTCGTGTAGATGTTACAACACCTACTGTTAACAGACAAAGTATATGGTTATCTGATTCTTTTATCAAAGGTATTTAGTATTTATATAGACATTTCTAACGCCACCTGTCAACACACAATGGGAATCATTACCCAATACTGTATTCAATGATGGCTCTGAAAAAATCATTGCTGACACCTATCACAAAGTATTAATTATATAATTATTTGAAAAATAATTAGATAACTAATACTTTTACAGTTCTTTAGTTATGTCCCTTTATAATGTTATATGCAAGTGAGGGCTCATCCGTGTCCTATGGAAACATTCTCCATCTATATAAAAGTATGTCAGAGTAATGAATTTATATACTGTGAATTCATTTATTTTCATAGATATTTTCATGGATTGTGGAAAAATTGTACTTTCGTGGATATTCCTTGTTTTGCCACAATCTGCATACAAAACTATAGTAAATTTGTTTTTAGTTTAACATTTAGATTCGTGGTTTACCTATACCCACTAAATCCTCAAAAATTGGTATCCCAAATGAATCCACGGTATGCTTTTCTCAGACCTATCAGCAGATACAGTATATTTGCAATTTAAATGATGGCCTCTTGTTTTATTGAAAATGTAGTTATATATGATAGTTTAAATCAGGCTATTGGAAAGTATTGGTTTCATTTTTTCTATCTTCTGTTAACAGACAAATTTATGTTTTCTGATACCATTATCAATGGTTGAGCCATGCATTGATATAATCAGTGTTACACTTATCAACACACACAATATTTGGTATTCTTATAATATGAAAGGTTAATATACTAATGACTGTATACAAATATGTCCACAACTCTTGTTAGAACAGTCCCTGTATGTTAAGAATTTATTAATATCATCATCTCTTTTTTTATAAAAATGAGGGAATATGGTATTATTGCCAATAAGATAATTATTCATAAAGGAGAGGCAAAAGGTTATTCAAACTCATAAGTCGAAAATAAACTGACAACGCCATGGCTAAAAAAAAAAGAAGACAAACAGACAAACAATAGTACACAAAACACAACATAGAAAACTAAAGACTGAGCAACACGAACCCCACTAAAAACTGGGGGTGATCTCAGGTGCTCCGGAAGTGTAAGCAGATCCTGCTCCATATGTGGCACCCGTTGCTTTGTTCATGTTAATACAAACCTGGTAATAAGTCTAATTCGGTAGGTCACATTCGGGGAAGAGGGGACGGGATTGTAGTTACGACATATAGAACATATCCGCTATCATCTGTGAAACGGATATTCCATAACGGTCAACCAACTATTTGTCAAGGACAAATGACAAAGATTTAAATAACAGGCCTTCAACATCTAAAAATTGACAATGCCATTTAGTAAGCTATAAAAGGCCCAAATATGACAAATGTGAAATCTTTGAAAAGTGAAGACCATTGAGTTGATTTATTATACTACTACATTTACAATAAACAAAAAAACAAGTATGGCAGACAGCCACCAACAACAACCACTAGAACACAGGCACATAAAGAAGATGACAGTGTTAAACATGTTTATAAGCATTCAACCTTTCCACTAACTTTAACATTTTAGTGTCTAGTTACTTTCGGTCAGTCTTGTTTTTTGTATTGTACTCTGGTTTCAAATTGGATTCTTCATTTTTTTCTCTCATAAAAGTTGATTTTCAATCTTCAGCCTTGTTATTTCAGTGAAATTAAAAAATTGTGTATGCATTCTGTAAATTCGGAAATGTTAGATTGCATTTATTATTGTGATTGTTGAACAATGGAAAAAATGTGAAAATAATTATTGCGATTTCAAAGAATGCAACATACAAATAATGCTCTAAAAATTTAAAATCTTAAGGCGAAGTGTACGTAATTGCACGCCTCTAGCGGAATTCAGGATAAAAAACGTGCGTCGTTAGTTACGCGGGTTATCTCCACTACTCCAAGAAAGGAAAAATGGGCACATGAAAGAGAAATGACTTTGTGCGGTCTATTATGAATTCAAACAAGTATTCATGTGCTATCTCAAAACTTCAAAGAAATTATTAGAATGACTCCAATCAGAAATCTGAGTATCCTAGTGTGAGTTAGTCTGACTCTATTACCACTGTTTTTGTTTTAGACACGCAAGAGCAGGTACACAATACGACTCGTGTTTATTTCAACAGAAGGTAAAAACGCCTAAACAACAAAATTATAACCAAATAAAAAATAAACCAGTGACAATTCTGCTTCTATTCGTATCAAATTCATTAAAATCAAACCAGAATTGACCCCACAATATTTTCTGAAAAACCATAGTTTTGAATGAAATGCACAGTGTACTGTAGGATCCTGTAGCGTAAAATTGTAGGTAACGAATAATTATATTGCATGTGAATTTGTGTCTTGAACAAGAAAGACGTTGGCATGCCCGTTTTTATGCAATTGAAAATTTTATGATGTTTTATATTTTATTATTTATGTAAAAAGTATAAAAGATACTAAGGGGTAATCGACCACTAGTACAACATTTATAAGCCGAAGAAAAAGCCAACAGCAAAAAAAAAAAAACCATCAGATTCCGTCCACAAAACATTACACACTCAGAAACTAAGAATTGTTTACTATTACATTTATCTCAGAATAAGTAAAACCTATGTCATCCAAATCTCAGTTTTCAAGGTGCAGAAAATAAACAGGTGTCTTCTATTCCGTCCGCAATTTTTGGGGAAAGTAAATTCTAAATTTAGAACCATGGTTGAAACTGAAACTACACATGTATGATAAAAATAGAACGTGTTACTTTTTCTTAATCAAATTCCGATTTCGAAGGGATAGCGAAATTTGTTCTCTTTTGTTGTGCTTTTGTGTATCATTCAGCAGTAGTATAAGGTAGGGGAAGAAGGGGTAGGGGTGAAGAAAAATAGTTCTACAATGTCGGGGCTTTTTATAACCCGGCGACTATATACGGTATGGATTTTCTCATTGTTGAAGGCTGTATGATTGCCTATAACAATTGCTTACATCCACATCCTTTAAGGTAGCTTGGGTGTCTAAATGTTGGACGATAGATTTTTCTTAAACTTCTGTAAGACTTCTGTGTCAATGTAATTTTAAATTTCAATATAAAAACTGGGGATCACGGACCTTGTTTTTTTGTAATAACACATTGAAATTAACGAAATTTGGGTTATTTTGTATTGTTGATATAGGGGAAACTTAAGTTTTCCTTATTGCAGAAACATTAAACGATAGAATTGGCTAAAATTCGATGAGAGAATTGCTTTTCATTAATAACTCCGAAATATCAAATAAAAATAAGGGGTCACGGGCCTTATTTTCTTGAAAAAATCCCCAAAAATTTTAAATATACTTTACGACACTTAATTTCTTGATAGTTCAATCTTTAAACTTCAAGTTTTAGGTATTTTGTTGTATATTTAATGATACTTGGTAAAATATTTTTAAAACAAAAAAGTTTTTGCAATTAACATGATCAGAACTGCCGCTCAGAAAATGACACCCGATCTACCTTAAACGTGGCAGATAGTTGTCTCATTTGCAATCATACCACAGCTCCTTATGTTCATATTATATTAACAAAACTGCAATTCATTTGCATTATATACAGGAACAATTTGTATGGCACTATACTAGGTAAACTCGTATAGCATCCGGCTCTTGGTACATTCTTATAGCATTACACAAGTACATTTATAGCATATCACTATGCACAAAGCTTTAGCATTACACAATGCACAATGCTATAGCATTATACACAATATACACAATGCTAAGGCTAACACTGGGAATGATCTGTGCTACGTGAAGTTAAAACTCCGATCTGTTTTACTTTGCTAAAATTCATATGCGGGTTCTTCTTTTGACCTTATTACAGCCATAAAAATTCTCAAGATAATATGCAGATGCATTTTTCTTATTTTTTGGGAGTCGTGCATGTGGATATTTAACAAATTATGGTACAAAAAATTATTTCCTTTTTTACTTAAAATCTCCAGCAAACATTATATCATGCTTTGTCGTTTAGTTAAAGAAAAGGGAAAGCGATCGAGACAGGAAATTTTTTAAATAAAATTGCAGAGTTATGTCACGTGCACGCGTGTGAACCTGACAAAAAAATGGGCCGTTTGTGCGCAATCCCTCGAATAGCGGCGGAAATGGTGAGGATGAAAAGATGCAGCAAATTATATTCACTTTTTTAAAATACAAACATGCAGAAATAAGATTTAAAAAAAGACGTGTATACGCGATCCCAATATTATAACCGATTATTTAAATACGTATAGAATCATTCTGTCAACGCTGTGTTAACTGGGACAATTTTAAAATTGATATTTGATTCATAATTATTAGAACAATACAATATAAAAAAAGAACATGTGGCATGAACGCCAAAAAGACAACTCTCCACAAGAGTCCAAATGACACAGAAATTAACAACTATAGGTAACCGTACGGCCTTCAACAATGATCAACGCCCATAGTCAGCTATAAATACAAGCATTTCAAAAAAGAAGTGGAACCCTGTCTAATTAAAAAAAGATGGAGTTAAAGTCTATAGAGTAACTTTCATTCACTTGCAGTATATTTATTTGCCAATTTGCTTTTTTTTTGGCAGCAGAAATATCCTTAAAAAATAGTCAGTTTATTTCCTTATTAATTGATTACGCTTGAGCATTTGCAATCATTAGGAAAATGGGTTATACACATTCACGATTTTGTTACGACACTGTACGGTATAATAGCGTTATAGAGTAGAAATTGTGATGACGTAATTATGTACAGTAGACATCAATAACGTCGCCGAATGTTTTTATTCTTTCCGCTAAAAATCAAACTTCCACAGGATATAGCTTGAAAACTAGCACGGTTGCTAAGGACTTTCTTTGCACCAATGGGTTCGTCGTTCATTTTTGAATCGCATATCGATTTTTAAAAAAATTCTGTGGAGCTACGAATTAGAAAATCTTGATAAAGTAAAAATATCTGCCGATTTTTATGATTTTCCCAATATATCCTTTGTATTTTTGGCGTATCATGCTGTTAATTTCAACAGCTTGTATCTGAAAAACGAAAACGGTTACCCCCTTTTTTTATTTTATTGTCTGATGTATTTTTAAAAGCAGAATCCCCATGTAAAATTTAAAAAAATTCTGTGGAGTAGTTAATTACGTACACTTCGCCTTAAGTGTTTTTTTTTTTTTTTGTGAAACCAATCCAGATGCAATTTCTCATTAATAAAAACATCGCAAAAAATTGTGAATTTACAGTTTTTATACATATATTTATTTGTTGAATTTACAGATATTTGGTTGCCAAGCCCACCATTCATCATGCAATATAGATCTGTCCGACAACTAGAAAGATACACCTCACTTCTGTTCCAGTTACAATACAGTCAGTTCCAGTCATATATACAGGAGGTTTTTGCCAAAGATATCCTACCATTTCTAAAGTCACTTCATCCTAAGTCTAGGTGAATACAAAATTAAAGTCTCCAAACTTATGAAAATGTACCCTTTAAACTGATTAATTCAAAGTTATATGATGAGGATAAAAAAAAAACACAAAATAAAGGACATTGCACTCATGAAAAAATTTACAGCAAAGGAAGCACGCCTTTTTTGCTGTTCTACATCTTAAAGTCACAGTTAGGTCTTTAACATGGGTTAAAACTTACACCTCACTACAAGTTCAAGACTGCCTTAATTACCCGTTTAACTCATTCGCCCCCAAGAGATTTCTGGAAAATCAGGCATTTTCGAAAATTTGCAATCATATGCAAATTATATGCAAATTAGCAGACTCTTGATGCTGTAACTGATGCTCATCTATTAAACTATGTATTGAGATTTGGGGGCGGATGGCATGGGTGGGGGGTCGGGTGGGAGGTGGAATATTTTCTCGTGGGTTTGAACCCACCCCCACTGAAAAATGTTAATTTTCCGTCTATTTTCCGATTTTAAAACGACCTTGAGAGGTGAACATTGACCAGACTGTTTTTCTTCGTCATTCAAGTATTACCCTATAGTTACAGCAGTCCATTCATGCTAACTGGGAGTATATTGGACTTAAGTGTCTTGCTGGGGAATTATTATTGTCAAGTCAGGTCTGCCTAAATGTCTGTTTTTACGGATTTTTGACAAAACGGTGACCTAGATTTTACAGACTAGATTCCTATTGGCCATATTATACCTCGTTGTGTTCCTGTATCACCTATGCATGCATTTATGATAATATTTTATACCTACAGTCACTACCAGTTACGTAGTGGCCATCAAAAGATGCCCACCCCCACCTGATTTTGGCTACTTTTCACGTTTTTCCGATTTTTGAACTCTTAAACGGCTTTCAAAGTGCCATATTTTCATGAACAGACATCTGAGAAGAGTTTATGGACCATGAACTGCTTGGTTGAAGTCCCTGCTATCATGACAGTTCAGCTGGGGCAGTTCAAAAAAGGTATGGAGGGTCATACGGGCCATCAAAGAATGGTTGTCGCCATCACGCCTACAGGCGGGATTGGGGGCTAAAGGGTTAAACGATTTGATCAAAATCTTTAAATTTGACTTCTGTTGGGTTTGAGGGTCGTTTTGGGGTGTAAAACTGACCAAAACACTCTTTAGAGGTTGAAAATCGGGAAAAAAATATTTTTAGTTTAAACGATTTGATCAAAATCTTTAAATTTGACTTCTGTTGGGTTTGAGGGTTGTTTTGGGGTGTAAAACTGACCAAAACACTCTTTAGAGGTTGAAAATCGGGAAAAAAATATTTTAAGTTTAACTCATTCGCCCCCAAGAGATTTCTGGAAAATCAGGCATTTTCTAAAATTTGCAATCATATGCAAATTATATGCAAATTAGCAGACTCTTGATGCTGTAACTGATGCTCATCTATTAAACTATGTATTGAGATTTGGGGGTGAATGGCATGGGTGGGGGGTGGGGTGGGAGGTGGAATATTTTCTCGTGGGTTTGAACCCACCCCCACTGAAAAATGTAAATTTTCCGTCTATTTTCCGATTTTAAAACGACCTTGAGAGGTGAACATTGACCAGACTGTTTTTCTTCGTCATTCAAGTATTACCCTATAGTTACAGCAGTCCATTCATGCTAACTGGGAGTATATTGGACTTAAGTGTCTTGCTGGGGAATTATTATTGTCAAGTCAGGTCTGCCTAAATGTCTGTTTTTACGGATTTTTGACAAAACGGTGACCTAGATTTTACAGACTAGATTCCTATTGGCCATATTATACCTCATTGTGTTCCTGTATCACCTATGCATGCATTTATGATAATAGTTTATACCTACAGTCACTACCAGTTACGTAGTGGCCATCAAAAGATGCCCACCCCCACCTGATTTTGGCTACTTTTCACGTTTTTCCGATTTTTGAACTCTTAAACGGCTTTCAAAGTGCCATATTTTCATGAACAGACATCTGAGAAGAGTTTATGGACCATGAACTGCTTGGTTGAAGTCCCTGCTATCATGACAGTTCAGCTGGGGCAGTTCAAAAAAGGTATGGAGGGTCATACGGGCCATCAAAGAATGGTTGTCGCCATCACGCCTACAGGCGGGATTGGGGGCTAAAGGGTTAAACGATTTGATCAAAATCTTTAAATTTGACTTCTGTTGGGTTTGAGGGTCGTTTTGGGGTGTAAAACTGACCAAAACACTCTTTAGAGGTTGAAAATCGGGAAAAAAATATTTTTAGTTTAAACGATTTGATCAAAATCTTTAATTTTGACTTCTGTTGGGTTTGAGGGTCGTTTTGGGGTGTAAAACTGACCAAAACACTCTTTAGAGGTTGAAAATCGGGAAAAAAATATTTTTAGTTTAAGAGGAATTTTTTTCTAGATGTAGATTTGGGTGGAAATATCAGTAAATCATAAACTATATCATTGTGCAAATCAATCGATATATTATATATTGTAAATTAATTTACAAAACAAACACTGTAATAAATAGCCTAATAATCTCACTGTTAGAGTACAAATATTTAAACAACCACAAAAACTGGCTGAATGAGGAAAAATGAATGAGCGTGCATTAGAGAGTTAATCTAAAAAACAGATACACCATAAGCATAAAATTATAAAAGCATTTGTCTCAGGGCATAAGGTTACATTTTTGTTTGGCTTCCACACAACACAGTACTGTTCGGAATCAATTTGGTATTGGTATATTTAAGTCTCCCAAACGAAGTTTGGGAAGACTTTTTGGTTTTGCTCAGTTCTTATTATTATTATTATTCTTCTTCTTCTTCCTCTTCCGCCGCTTTTAATTTTGAACTTGTCCGCACCCGTTCTCCAAAACCGCTTGTCAGATTAACTTAGGGTTTCACAATATGTTAGACTAACATGTCTAGTGGTGCAATCAGGGTTTTGTTTGTGCAATGGGGTTTACAAAGGGGTACTTTGAGGGGCAAAAAGAAAGGAGGGTTTTACTATAGAACCCTATGGGATTTTATTTTTTTAAATTTTCAAATGATTCTAAATTGAAATCCGTTTGTGATAGACACAATCTTTTTAATTGAAAATGTTCTAAATGATAAAGCACATTAAATGAAATACAGGGTTAGTCCCCAGGGGTCACCCCCACCCCCTGCCATTTGAGAAAGTTCTAATATCTTGTAAATGGTCGAGATCCCCACCCCTAAACCATATATATTCTGGTTTGTCATGCTAAGATGGTTTGAATGATATACAGAGTTAGTCCCCAGGGGTCATCCCGACCCCCTGCCATTTGAGAAAATTCTAATATCTTGTAAATGGTCGAGATCCCCACCCCTAAACCATATATATTCTGGTTTCTCATGATAAAGCACATCAAATGAAATACAGGGTTAGTCCCCAGGGGTCACCCCCACCCCATGCCATTTAAGAAAGTTCTAATATCTTGTAAGTGGTCAAGATCCCCACCCCTAAACCATATATATTCTGGTTTGTCATACCAAGATGGTTTGAATGATATACAGGGTTAGTCCCCAGGGGTCATCCGGACCCCCTGCCATTTGAGAAAGTTCTAATATCTTGTAAATGGTCAAGATCCCCACCCCTAAATCATATATATTCTGGTTTGTCATGGTAAAGCACATCAAATGAAATACAGGGTTAGTCCCCAGGGGTCACCCCCACCCCCTGCCATTTAAGAAAGTTCTAATATCTTGTAAATGGTCGAGATCCCCACCCCTAAACCATATATATTCTGGTTTGTCATGCGAAGATGATTTGAATGATATACAGGGTTAGTCCCCAGGGGTCACCCCCACCCCCTGCCATTTAAGAAAGTTCTAATATCTTATAAATGGTCGAGATCCCCACCCCTAAACCATATATATTCCTGTTCATCATGTCTCGAACATTTGAATGACTTATACGGTCAGTACCCAGGGGTTCCCCCCACCCCAATATTCTAATATCTTGTAAATGGTCGAGATCCCCATCCCTAAACCATATATATTCCTGTTCGTCATGTCTCAGAACATTTGAATGACATATAGGGTCAGTCCCCAGGGGTTCCCCTCTCCCCCAATGTTCTAGTATCTTGTAAATGGTCGAGATCCCCACCCCTTAACCATATATATTCTGGTTTGTCATGCCAAGATGATTTGAATGATATACAGGGTTATTCCCCAGGCATCACTAATGCATATAACTTTACTGGATTTTGTCCAATGTCAGGCGATCCTGGGAATTACGAATTATGGGAGCTTCGTTTGGGAGACTTCGTAACAGCATCCTGTTACAATAATTTCTTGTTTTTATACGCCCGTTTACGGGACGTATTATGGTATACCGTTGTCCGTCTGTCCGTCTGTCCGTCCGTCCGTCTGTCCGTCTGTCCGTCCGTCCGTCTGTCCGTCTGTCCGTCCGTCGTCAACATGTCGGACATTAACTCAAAAACGCTTTAACCAATTTGCATAAAACTTTGGTGAATTGTTTATATCTATTGACGTGAGCTCCCTTTCGTTTTTTATAAATTTTAGATTTTACGTTTCCCAGTTATGGGGTTTTATTCATTAAAAAAAGGGGGATTTTCCAGTTTTCGGTCAATAACTCAAGAATGCTTTCACCAACTTGCAAGAAATTGTGGTGAATTGTTTATATCTATTGACATGAGCTCCCTTTCGATTTTTATAAATTTTAGATTTTACGTTTCTGAGTTACAGGGTTTTATTCATAAAAAAAGGGGGATTTCCCAGTTTTCAGACAAAAACTCAAAAACACTTTCAGCAGTTCTTATGAAACTTTGGTGAATTGTTTATATCTATTGATGTAAGCTCCCTTTATAATTTTATAAATTTTACATTTTAGATTTCCGAGTTATGGGGTTTTATTCATTAAAAAAGGGGGGATTTTCCAGTTTTCGGTCAATAACTCATGAATGCTTTCACCAACTTGCAAGAAATTGTAGTGAATTGTTTATATCTATTGACATGAGCTCCCTTTCGATTTTTATAAATTTTAGATTTTACATTTCTGAGTTACAGGGTTTTATTCATTAAAAAAGGGGGAATTTCCATTTTTCGGACAATAACTCAAAAATACTGTCAGCAATTCTCATGAAACTTGGGTGAATTGTTTATATCTATTGATGTAAGCTCCCTTTTGATTTCTAATATGACATTGAGAATTAATTGAACAGATTTACTAAGTATTGCGCAACAGCACAGTGTATTGCACAACAGCAAGAAATCTTTAATTGAATATAAATTCAATTCATATAACCAATTTCAAGTTCTTTGACTACAATTATTCAGAAATCTATAATATGTCAAATATTTAATTACAATCCAAATTCAGACCTGTATCAAGCTTGAATATTGTGTCCATTTTTGCCCCAACTGTTCAGGGTTGGACCTCTGCGGGCGTATCCAGCTGCGCTCAGCGAAGCAGTTTATTTACTATATTTAACCACAAAGGAACTATGTCACATTTAGCTTTAAAATATTTATTTTTAATGATAAAATGCATCTGTGAAATAAATCTAGTAAAACAATATTGGCAGACAGCAACCAATGAAAACCCAACCAATTAGTCTTTCAATTTTACAAGACAAAGAATCAGCCAGTTCAAATTTAGCTTTAGTTTCACCTGGGTTGAAAGGAAACCCTCAACATTCCACACATGAGCATGCCATCACATAATAATTTAGACTATCCTGTTCATAGGTACCATTACATATTGTTATTCAGCTTTCTTTGACCTGTGTTTTAATAAATCTAATTGTTCTCTTTTATTTGAAGTGAATTCATACTCCTGTTGAGAGCCTCATTTTCCCTGCTGACTAGTGATGAGACATTTCCTGTTATTGTACAGGACACAATACAGGAACTAGAAGAAAGTATCGGAGGAGATGATAGCTGATATATTCCTTAGTATAGACATCTTATAAGCTCTTAACATGCCATGTATAAATAGTTAAAAGAAGGTGACACTTTCTCTCAGGAAAGAACTTTTATAAGCTCTTAACATACCATGCAAAATCAAACGACGATCTTTAAACAGTTAGAAGAAGGTGTTGAAGGAGATATTAGCTGATACTTTCCCTTAGTATAGAATTCTTATAATCTCTTTAACATGTCATGTGAAATCAACAGACCTTGTTTAAATAGATAGAAGAAGGTGCAGAAGCAGAAATTAGTTGACACTTTACCATAGTAAAGAATTCTTTTAAACTCTTAACATGTCATCCAAAATCAACAGACATTCTTTAAACAGTCAAAAGGAGATGTAGCAGAAGAAATTTGATGACACTTCCCTTAGTAAAGAACTTATATAAGCCCTTTAACATGCCATGCAAAATCAAAAGACGATCGTTAAACAGTTAGAAGAAGGTGTTGAAAGAGATATGAGCTGACACTTTTTCTCAGTAAAGAATTCTTATAATCTCTTTAACATGTCATGTGAAATCAACAGACCTTGTTTAAATAGATAGAAGACTTATAATCTCTTTAACATGTCATGTGAAATCAACAGACCTTGTTTAAATAGATAGAAGAAGGTGTTGAAGCAGATGTTGGTTGACACTTCACCTTAGTAAAGAATTCTTTTAAGCTCTTAATATGTCATGTGAAATCAAAAGACGATCTTTAAACAGGTAGAAGAAAGTGTTGAAGGAGATATTAGTTGACACTTTACCTTAGTTAAGAATTCTTTTAAGCTCTTAACATGTCATGTGAAATCAAAAGACGATCTTTAAACAGGTAGAAGAAAGTGTTCAAGGAGATATAGTTGACACTTTACCTTAGTAAAGAATTCTTTTAAGCCCTTTAAATGCCATGCAAAATCAAAAGACCTTATATAAACAGATTAAAGAAGGTGTTGAAGGAGATATTAGTTGACACTTTACCTAAGTAAAGAATTCTTTTAAGCTCTTAACATGCCATGCAAAATCAAAAGACGATCTTCAAACAGTTAGAAGAATTTGTAGAAGGAGAAATTAGCTGACACTTTTTCTTAGTAAAGAATTCTTGTTATCTCTTTAACATGTCTATAAATAAATAAAAGAAGGTGTTGAAGGAGAAGTTAGCTGCCACTTTTCCTTAGCAATGAATTCTTATAATCTCCTTAACATGTCATGTGAAATCAAGAGACCTTCTATAAATAGATAAAAGAAGGTGTTGAAGTAAAAATTAGCTGACACTCTCCGTAGTCCTTAGTTTAGAATTCTTTAAAGCTATTTAACATGCATGACATGCCAAACAAGATCCTTAGACATTATTTCAATAGTTAGGAAAAAACGTTTATGATGATGTAAGCTGTCATTTTTGGTTTGTAAAGAAATTAAAAAGCCTCTGTTACGCTGCCAAAGAAATCAACTGATCTTCTAATTACTGGCAATTTAGATACTTTTCCAAGTAAAAACTCTGAACATTAAAACCCTATACAGATACACTTGTGATATTTTATCTTAGATATACATATGTTAACTGTTACTATCTCAATGTTATTTATCTGTGATATATAAAATAAAGATAATGAATTTATTTCTGTGTGCCTGATGCAGTTTGTTAAAGCATTGTCAAATGTAAAATATTTTAATGTAAAAACTCATCAAAAGGCTAATGAAAATTAGATTTTCAAAGCCAGTCTCATAATCCTAACCTCAGTTCAACTTTTAACCTTGATATTTAAAATCAAAAGGCTAATGAAAATTGGATTTACAACGCCAGTCGCATAATCCTGACCTCAGTTCAACTTTGAATCTTTAAATCAGAAGGACTTTCTTTTAATGATAAGCCATGGCATCAGAATTGAATGATAAAGGTTAATCTAGCAATGCAGTCTATTGCATATTGACACTTTGCCCCTTTATTTGGTTTGGTATTCTTAAAATTCAAACAAATGTATGTTTTCCTATTCATATGACGACCACCTGTTACAAGGTTGGTATTTGCAAAAACATGGTTAAAAATTCTTCAAAGATATTAGGTTAATAATTTGTATCACATCGAACCTTGACACCTTCATGACTCTTACCCTCTTACCTTGAAATTTACCATATTAATAGGCCAGACACTCGTCAACATATAAGACTCATTAGTGGAGCATGAAACATGAAAGACTAAATCATACATGAAGTTGTAGAGCACGGAAATCCAGAAAGTGCAAACAAAGTGCAGAACTTTGCTAAGCCACCAATACCTTCAATAGAAAAACCTTACTGTTTCAAATAATTATCATTGATTAACTGTAAAATTGAGAAAAACAACAAAATCAATAACATTTTATGTCAATACAGGACTGCTCTTTAGTGATACACTTAGGGGACGATTATTGTGTATAGACATCGAACCTTGATACCTTCATGACTCTAGCCCTCTTACCTTGAAATTTACCATATTTATACTCAATGCTATATATAGTGGAGGAGGTATTAAGTTTTGACTAGTCTAAATCTTTGATAAGATATCTTTTATCGATTTATTTCTATCTAATTTTATTTAAATAAAGTCTAGATATCTGCATTTGTGCAGTGTCAACTGTTTAAACTGTGTATAAACATTGGCAATTAGAAGAAAAATAAGACGAAACAGCCATCTTTGAGTTTAACCTTTACAATCTTAAAAATAACATTTAAAATCTCATTCAAACGAAAGTTAAAAACATGCATGGTTTTTACGAGACATAGCGAGCCAATGTGTATATGTCAACCTATACAATCCTTTGTTTGATAGCAGACTTGGGCGCAGAAATAAATGCATTTATTCCATATCGGTATTATTTTAGAGGGTTCCCTATATGAATTGGATTTTGAATAAAAGAGCATATTCACCTGGAGAAATGTGATATTCACCGCGCTAAACGTCACGCTTTTACATGTAACGTCATGATAAAATGATTGATGAACAATTTGTTTTGGTAAATATTTGTCTTAAATACATTGTTTTCTCTCTATAGGTTGCACTTTGTAAATACAGCTATTTCTCAAACCACACCTCTTTTGGGGAGATATATAATATTCATAGATATGTTAATTTGTTAACGTACTGGTTCCCATTTATGATCTCTGTGTTTCATCTCATAGAGACATCACTTGGGAATGTAACCAGTATAGAAAAACATGGTAGCGCCTAAATTTTAATTCTTAGGAGGTCCAAAAATGGAGGTAAGGGTAGTATAGAATTTTAGTATAAGTTTAAACTCTTAGAAGTTCAGGGCATATAAATGTTGAAAATATGCCGCACAGCCCTATATTTTGACCTTTGAATAAAATAGTAGTGCATATAAACTTTCCGTTCTAGGATATTATTTTTCACGAAACTTCATAGTAAAAGTGTCACAGTTTTAGCCGCAAAGGGAGTTCCTATGGGAAATTGTATTGTCTATATTTACAGAATTGCAACCTATATAGGGTTAAAAATTAGAACATACAGAATTTCACAAAATCTTGTTTACCTCAGAGATTTTGAAGAATTTAACTCAAATATGAAGTTTTATAAATATTTCATGAAGATTGAGAAAATCCTGGGCCTTAACTATGATGAGTCAGCATAAATTCACAGTTTACAGTATGCATTGTTTACTTAAAGCCCTGAATTAAAAATAAATTCATAATATATGCCTATTTGTAATTTAAATTGTTTAGAAGTGCTTATATTTACCCTTCGCAGTCATTGCAACTCATTGATCCTTCTTAAATATTTTTGGTGGGGTGTTTTTGTCTTGTCGATAACCCAAAAGTAAGCCGTAACACCTAAATGTGCTTTTTTTTTACCGCGGCATAAAAAGTACAAGCTAGAATTACCAAAAGACTTCAGTAAAACTTACAATAGTGTGTTCTATCCAAAATATGTACTAAATATTCCACATTGCTAGAAACAGGAAAAAAATTTAGGAAATGTGGGGCCCCAGGGGCAATAAAACAGAGAAAAATGCCTCCCCCTGGGTCATAAAACAGATAATTTAACTTCTAAATGCTATGATTTTATTATTTTAAAGGTCTTTTGTAAAGAAAACAATAACTGTGCTAGGAAGTTATGCAAAAATCAGATGTAAGCAGTCATTTCTATCAAACTTTTAGTGAATTTATGCACCAGACTGATATCTTCATAAATACAACTTTTGCAAATATGGCTTTGTTAAACACTTCTAGTTCATATATTAACTAACTTATGTTAGATATATGGTTAGGGATGATACTGTTGTAACATGAATTCTAAACTGACCATTTGAGGCAGAAATTGTGAACTTTCATTGACAAATAGGCATACAGTAAGATGTGGACTGGAGACACAGGCAGGATTGGATACTTTGTATAATCTTGAATGTTGGAATGATTAACTACTAAGCATTACATTTATAGTATTTTAAAATGCTTTCAATTTGTTATCAGAATAGTTTCAAACAGGTTTTAGACAGTTCATGTCAGAAAACATGCACATAGGGTAAGCTGGCAATAATTAAAGTCTTGTTTCAAATTCTTTAAAAAATTGAAACAGGGGTAGGGGTATACAATGTACTGTAAAAGGAAACTTAGAGTATATGCAGTGATTTCTTTAAGGGTATAATTCTGATAAATAAGTACTGTTGTGAGAAAAAGTGTTTTTAGAGAGTTTTCTATTTGAATAAATGTTTGTATAGGTTGCACTTTGTAAATACAGCTATTTCTCAAACCACACCTCTTTTGGGGAGATATATAATATTTATAGATATGTTAATTTGTTAACGTACTGGTTCCCATTTATGATCTCTGTGTTTCATCTCATAGAGACATCACTTGGGAATGTAACCAGTATAGAAAAACATGGTAGCGCCTAAATTTTAAATATTTGAGGAGGTCCAAAAATGGAGGTAAGGGTAGTATAGAATTTTTGTATAAGTTTAAACTCTTAGAAGTTCAGGGCATATAAATGTTGAAAATATGCCGCACAGCCCTATATTTTGACCTTTGAATAAAATAGTAGTGCATATAAACTTCCCGTTCTAGGATATTATTTTTCACGAAACTTCATAGTAAAAGTGTCACAGTTTTAGCCGCAAAGGGAGTTCCTATGGGAAATTGCATTGTCTATATTTACAGAATTGCAACCTTTATATGGGTTTTCAATAAAACAATTACTGTCTTGTTTCGGTAAATATGTGGTTCAATTGACTTTTGTCGTTGGGCTCAGTGAATATCAGTTTTTCAAAAGTCAATAAAACCGCATGTTTACCTCATCAAAAGACAGCAATTGTATATTGTACATGTTATAGCTTGTGATTTTCGTCTTAATTATATGAATTTAATCTGCGAGAAAATGAATTTTTATACTGAATGGTAAATATTAATAAATTTACATCAGTTACTGCACTTTACCAATGGTTGAGTACGGGCAACTGGGCTCAGATGTACTTGTTTTCGATAACGCAAGTATTAAATCAATTTCCATCAAATACAAGTCTGTCACTGGTACAAAAATGTAAGTATTAATCTAACAATTAACCAACAGAAACAAAAGTCATTCGTAAATTCCTTGTTAAAAGTACATGTAATAAATTTACAAGTAAAAAATAAAACATAAATCAATTGGAAGAATGTGTTGCTGTGATTACAGTAGAACCAAATTATGAGTAAAATCAAATTGAACAACATGGAAAATAATTCACAAATTGTTTTTATCTATTGTCGACAATCTGATGACGATCTGTAGATATCCTTTACCGTTCCAGAGTATCTGAGATCACTCCAATTTTCGGTTGGGTTCATTTTGCTTAGTCCTTAGTTTTCTATGTTGTGTATTGTGTATTGTGTACTGTTATTTGTTTATTGATCATTTTCTTTTTTTTTTGCAATGGCATTGTCAGTTTGTTTTCGACTTTGAGTTTGAATACCCCTTTGGAATCTTTCTGTTCACTTTTCCATATTTTTGGCTTGAATAACATTTATATTTTTTGTTGTTTTTTTTGTTTAACTCCATCGCCAGGTTTTTAATGCATGCATATGCTTAAGATGGGAAAAATTAACCAATAAATACAAAGGTTAGATTCTGCAAAGTAGGATGAACAGCTGGGATTTTGGAGTACCACTAGCAACAAAAGTATGTTGTAAAGATGCAGAAAATAAATCTTGCAAAGAATAATTTATAAGGGTTCGTCAACATGGAGAGAGTGTGCCATACTCTCTATACAATGCATCAGAATAAACATCACAATTCTTACAGCTGAATGATTTATGAATTAAAAAACAATATAAATGTAGTATTTTAAAAGGATACCAAATGGATCCTTGGCGAACAGACTCGGTGGGCAAACATTTTTCGGAGAATTTCATTCAATGCTTATAGGTAATATGTAGTAATTCTAATATTTCCATTAATATAGAAATAAAACTGCAGGGAAATATGATTTGTTTTAGGAAAAGAAATATTTTGCAAACTTGGTTTTTGTTTTTGAAGGAAGGAGGGCTTTTGGATTAACTTAAAGGAATCGACCAGTTGATAGCATAATGGTGAATCTGTGTGGTTACATGTTTTGAGCTGTACTTGAAGGATAGTCTATTACACAC